ACAAATTGGCTTATAAGGCTAGTACATGTTCCATCACATACTTAGTAATGCAAATTTTTTTAATCTTTGGCACTATTTTGAAAAAAAGAACATAGGATTTTCGGAAGGGGGGGGGGTAGTCTTTCATTTTTTTGCGATGATAGACAAAGCATATGCAGTGGACCTTTGTTTGCAAACATTGTGATTGCTTCTAAATTTCTAAGAAACAACTCAATATATTTTATCAAGCATCGTATGTTCAATAAGCGAGAGCTTACAACGTAGTCAACATAATGAGACATGAAGCGTTTTTATGTTCAAACATTACTCCATACAATGTGTTGGTAATTGCAAACAATCAAGCTTTTTACGTGAGGTGCCTGAAGGAAATCCTTTAACTGCCTATTTTTTCTATCTAACTGCTAAACAAAATAGACATATGTACCAACTTTTCGAATGTAAGACATGTAATTGGAATTTGTTTTTCATGCACCACATATTGTTTAACATTTTCAAATTAAATGCTAAGCGTCCTCCGAGCAGTGCCCCATTTCAAAATAACTTCTATCGCCACAGTAAAAAGACCCGACATAAACACATATGTTTAGGGCATTTTTTAGCTTTTTTCTTGAGTTTTCAAGAAACCAACAAATTATCAAGACTTGTTCCACGAAATATTAAATATAATCATGGTAATAAACGCAACTATCCACAGCAGATATATGCACATGCCAACCACGTGCTCAGTGTAGTAATATTAACTAGGAAACTCGAGCTGCGAACAGAACATTTTTTCCCGATTTGCTGGAGTGGGGTTAAAATCGCGTTTTTTCATTAATCAGACGAAGCGATGCAACAAATAAAAGTAGTAAGTAATATTACCTAATGATTATAACTTAGTAATTTCTTGTCTTGAAGTTATTATGGTCGCATTAATTCTAAAATCAATGTTATTCAAACGCTGTGTGACAGAGGAATGGCGGACAAAATAAACACATGGCCTCAGGAAGACACACATATGAAAAATCAAATTTTCAAGAATTTTAGATAATGACAAGAAAAAAGCCAAACAAATGGTTGTAGCCATATTATCAATGAATCAAACTAACAACATTTTCAATGCATTTTTCATTTTGTGAATGCTGTTACTGCGCAGTTCTACCATGATTAATTTCCTCCTAATTAAAACAAAATAAACTTAATTATTTACTAATTTTGGTCTTTAACAGTAAGTAACTAGTGCATTAACACTTTGAGTAACTTTTGGCTAGTTTAGACGAGTATTACGCGCATTCTTGGTATTCCTTATTTCATACCAGACTAGATCCAATTGGCTTGTATATTACCCTTAAATTGAGAAAAATCTCTGGTTTAGATTGAGTGTTGTTATACTAATTTTTGCCTCGAGGTAAAATGTACACATTATCATATGACATCCAATTGTGAACGTATAAAAGTTACATCCGTCTTTTTAGGTAGAAATAAAACAATCTTTTTTTCCTGCGATATGATCTTGTTGCGGTGATATATATGCAATATGAACTTTAAAGGTATCTGCACGATTCACACATAGAAAGACTAATTGGTATTGGCAGTACATATCATTTTTGCGTGGTATATTCAGATTTGTTAAATTTGTAATTGTTATTTAATAAAATTCGATTAACACAAGGCTCGATAGTTCGGATAAGTGATCGGGATTGTACCGAATCAAAAGGCTACAGTTGTTTAATTATTTTCAATCAGTTTATAAGAAATGTCTCAAAATCCATCTTTTTTATACTCAGTATCTTCTCATACAAGGTATTGATATGTCATTGCATTATGACGTCACAGTAATGAAAACCAGCTGCAGTACCTTTTTTAGAGACATTCAGTCTATAAAGACTGACTCCAGCTCTATTGTTTCCTCACAATAAAACATTTCCAATTTTAGAAACATCAGGTTTATAAATTTTTAAAATAGAAACAGCCAGTCTGTAACACTTTTTTATACTTGATCATGTGATCCAGGTTAAACCAATCATATAGTTGGAACAATAAAGAAAAATAATAAAAGATTGTTAATTTTTTTTATTACAACTAGACTAGGATAAAATCAATAAGAGTCTTTCATATTTGTCCTGCATAATTTTTCATAACTTGTGGCACAGCATTTCATTTAAATTTTAGTCTTAATCTTAAATGAATTTAAATTATAAAGTTTAATCTCATATAGAAATATTTCTGCACTGATATTGACCTGTATAAAACGATGCGGTTATAGAGATAATTTAATACTATTTTCTATGGCCTCTGTAACATCATTGTGACATCATTGTGACCTTTGACCTTACTGTATACATTTTAAACTTAACTTGGTTTACATAAAGCATATTCTACTGGTAAAATGATTTTAAGTTTTAATAAAGTTTTAATTCATGGGCATGATTGCGTTAAGTTGTTAATTTTATATCTTCACTAGTATTCTTATGAAGTATTTTAAAGCATTATAACATTCGCATTTGATGGTATTTAACTATATACACCATTACATTTAAAGCTCGGGCTTGGGTGCAATTAACTATCAATGAAGCACAATTTAAAGAAATTGACACAGAGAGATCATTTTATTTACATATCATTTTTATTTGTTGAATTGTAGTAATTAAATAGTTTTGGCGCCGCTTCTCAACGAAAATTATATTTACATTTTACTTAATTTATAAACTGACTGTATTACCAGAAACGCTCTTGGGATGAGTCTAATAAATATAAATCCAGATATTTTTTACGTTAATTTCACTCAAGACTGATGCTAAAAAAAATTACGAAGTAGCGGATACTTTTAATTTCCATCGTAAATTTATAGATTTAATTCAACAATAACGTGTTCCAAGATGTAGACTACGTTTGTTAATAGGCTTAATTATTATTGGCAGAATTACGAAATATTTATTCTAAATAGGATAAATTAAAACTTCATGTTTGAATTTGAATCATAATATGTACATTAATCAAAATTGCTTACGCACCACCTAAGAAAATTAACATTTTATCTCTAAAAAATAAATTTGTATGATGTATGTTAATGTTAAATATGTTAAATTTAATGAAAAATAATGCATATTAATGTCCAACTTTAACACAAACACAATGGTAACTGAAGTGTGGCCAACTCTTAAAAAAATTAATAGAATCATGTCTATTCCATTGTAGAAAAAATAATCATTTTTTAAATGTGTGTTATTTCCATTTCTACTGATTAAATATTGCAGTATACCATTTGTATAGAGAATAAGTATTTTTTTCTTTACAAAAAGGTATGTGCATCTAGTATTATGTGCTAAGAATGACTCTGCAAAACAGTAAAGTTTGACGTAAAACATTCTTATTATGAGAAATTACACGTATAGTGTTAATAATTATTCTAAAAAAAATAGCAGCTGTTTATTAAACATGTTTGTTTACTTTCTATATTTGTTAATGAATATTTTAATGAAATATATACACAGGTATATTTTTTTTCATTAGTAAATAATTAAATCAAAAATACTTTTATTATTAGGAGGTCTTTAGAATACATCAGAATGTGATGACTGAGAATTTGACAGAAGTTTCTATATCTAGACGTTTCTTTAATAATATATACATAAGAGTTGTGATCTTAAAAACTTAGAGTTTTAGATTAAAGAAAGATTGAGTCAATATCAGAAACCATCTGATTGTTTTAGCCAATGTGGTATTGTGATTGTTAACAATTGTGTATTTCTAATCTACTTGTTTTTGCTTTTATACAATTTTTTTCTGACTGGGTTTGTTTTAGGTCACAATGATTAAACCATCTGCGGAGTACACTATTCTTCGATCCTGAAGAGTACTTCGAAGATGATTAAACCATTACAGCAATAATTGTTTAATTATATAATTCCCTTTTAAAGCGATACAGCTCATTACTTTTTGCATTTAATTAAGTGCTAGCCAAATACAAAAGAGAAACAGAATTAAAGAGGCTGGGTAGGCAGCCATTTTCTGAATTTTTCGATCTCCTTTAAAAGAAGAGCTCCATATGAAGATATATAAAAATGATCATATTTTAAAACAAAAGTGTATGATTTTTTTCTTTGCCAATAATGGTTGACATCTTAAGATAGCCTACTGTATGGGGGGAAACTAACTCGCGGTGTTAATATTCGTTATATTCATGATGTCGATGAAACCGTGAATTCAAGAAACAGTGAATAAGTTCTCAATAAGTAGAAATAAGGGAGAAAACTTTTATAATATGCCAATTCCACGACTTCACGAAACCGCGACAGTGTCAGAGAAGAGAAAATCGTGAAAATTACAACCCGTGAAATTAAACCCCTTTACAGTATCTAAAAAAGGAGTTAAATCTGGTGGTTAATTTTTGGTAAATTTGTTGACCCCCCCCCCTCCCCCCCTCAGCCTCCTTAAAATGTAAATAAACCATACAAGTCGTATCGATTTAAATTTTTATTTATCTCTTTTAGAGGCCAAAAAGAATATGAATTATGATTTTTTATGGGATAGATATTGCAAGGAAGAAGTCTTATTATATAACCATCAATTTCCTTGTTTTTGTTACTGTTAATTTTACAGAGTGTGATCCAATTTTCCGGATCACCACACTGTGGTTTTCTGAATCCATATCACCACTCTCTTAAACTGATGACGTAGTACGCAAAAGCATGACGTTATTTTTCTTGAGCGTTTAAAAGTCCCTTGTTATTATGCTTTGTTTTATGGATAAATATTATACAATTGATCTTTAAAGTTTTATTCTGTCATATTTAGCTAGTCATAAGGGGGTTTTTAATAAATTTATCATTATAACAGTAACTTGATCCGAAGAGCCGTATCACGTCTCGTTGACAGGCGCGAATCATCTGATGAAACTCGACGCTTCCCGTCTCGTTAGATCTGATGATCCGTGCCTGTCAACTCGATGTGATACGACCCTTCGGATCAAGTTACTGTTATAATAATATTTATGCCTCCTCCTTCCTATACCTCGTTGAGCAAATGTGGGGGTATTTACATTGACTGTTGCATGATTTCCCTTCATTGTATCGAAAACAATGGGGACGAAAAAGCTGGTTCTTAGTATTTTGCCCTTGAACAATTTGACCCCCCAGTTTCTTCATGAGGGCCCGGCTGTACAAAACTTGATCTACATGCCTCCAAGATATTGTGGGGTCCCCTTGCCTGGCCTTCCTAAAGGTAACATCATAATGGAACCAGTCCCCCCCATCTTTCTGAATAGATCTTATCAAATGCATGTAAATAGCTAAGGCCTCTGTGAGGTCCTGATCATTTGGGTTGCTATGTCTTAATACCGAACTAAAAATGCTAAAAGCATCAGTCCACTCTTCAATGCTGATATATTTTTTCTTCTTGTTAGAAGCAAGCCCAACCTTCCCTTTATCTTTGATTGACAAATGAAAGTCTACAAACTCCAATTCTGTAGGGGGATCCAAAATGTCACTCATTTGCACAAATTCCGCTGACAAAATCTTTTCTTTGAGCTTTGCTGTAGCGTATGTATGTAACGGTCTTCCTAAGGGTCTGTACTCAGAATGATTGTTATTACATGTATTACCCTGTCCAGCTGGAAGCTGCTTCCCCATGTCCGTGATGGCTGAAGCTTGGATCTGCTCAATTTGATGAGTTGAACCACCAGAATTCTTATCAACTGTTGGAGGTGGATTGTCCGCTACTTCTGCCTGCAAGTGTTGGTTTGTTAGGACCCCGACCTTCTGTAGCTCAGCCAGTATGTTTTCTGTTACATTTTTCGTAATAGAATTAATGATATCACTATTACTAGTGTCACTTGCACTGTCAGTGTTTGTTTTTCTTTGCACAGTTACTCTTCTCCTTTTCGCTGGAGGCTCCGTCCCTTCTTGCCTCTTCTTTGGACCCATAATTAAGATCTACAATGACAAATCATTCATTAAGCACATGCTAAATAATATTAGCATGCTACTATACATGCCTTAAAATGCATGCCAATTATACAGGTAATGTTACCTGCTAATTTTATATAATAATATATATTTTCTGACAGTAAACTTCATTTAAATGTTATATTTATCTGTCTTCATACTATTATACAACCTTCAAAAAGGCTATCAACATCAAGAAAGGGATATTTGTAACTGAACATGCCTAATGCATGCTAATTGCTAAATCAGAAGTTAAAACCTTTACAGGCAAAAATACTCAAAATATATATACATTATGCTAAGCTATCGAAAGTGAACAACTCTACTTACTCAGTACAGACTGAGCCATAAATTACTTAGCATAAAACAATTGAGCTACTATTTACTCAGCGCAAATGACTGAGCCATTTATTACACAATTTACCCAGTACCAAAATACTGAGCCAAAATTTACTCAGCACCAAGATTGAGCAATAATTTTTTAGCATGAATTAAGTGACCGAGTCAACATATGGTCCCAACAGATGTGTGTTCCAGTAATATAAATATAACATAGACCTGTACAAGCAAGGTATGTATATACATAAATATATATAGAGAGAGAGTGCCTAAACATGTATCTCTCCCTTTGCAAACCCAGAACCACTGAGTATTCAAATGCTATACTGCATTCCTAACATATGATATATGCTTTATTTTACCCCTAAAGTAACAACAAGTTTAACCAAAATGGCAATTACAATTTAGGTGGTAATGAAATACCGTATGGCATGAAGAACAGCTAGTCTAAGACTCCTATAGAACTTCTTAGTTCCTATCACAGAAAGGTGAACACCATCTCCACAGAGAATGGCTAAAGGACTTTGCATCAGCCTCAAGTGACGCCAGAACGTGAGATTAGGATAATCCTCTAACATATCCTTTAACATCTGATTCACAATACGACGCTTAGATTCATACATTTCTACGCTGACTTGTCTTGGTTTAGCCCGGATAAAAAGTTCACAGACAACAATATTCTTAATAAAGCAGAATCTCGATGTCAACGATGAAACCCATTCTATAAGCCTGCATGCAAAGACTTCTGGTCTAACTGCCGTCATAGACATATCGTTCCCACCTAATTGAATCACAATAATGTCCGGTCCGTATGTCCGTAGTTTTTCGATAAACACAGAATCAACTTCCAGTGAATCTAATCTTCCACCGCTAATTCCATAAAAATACACGGTACACAAAGATAAGTCTAGTCCTAAATTATTGAAACATCCTTCAATCTGCCCTAATGAGCGTTCAAGTCGACGTATAAAACTGTGGCCAACAACTAAAACTTTAGCCATGTTTGTAAACAAAGTTCAGTATGGCGGTCACACTCAGCAGTGCGTGAAACAAAACAAAACAATTTAAGTCATTTTTTTTTACCTGAAGAAGTCCCGATTCACTCACATAACATAAAACTGCAACTTCCTCAAACAATGCAGCAACTCTAACACCGTAATAAAACGGCTAAAACAAAAATTTCGTTAAAAAATTTCTTTGTGATGTTGCGCTTCTATCAGGCTAAAGTTACATAAATAAAGGACGCTATCTCTCAGCCAATCAAAATCCAGTATTGTTAAGAGGTAACATACGGGCATTAGCTTTGGTTAAATAATAGAGGCTCCCCACAGGTTACAAAATAAAATATGTACAGTTGTCAGCATAAAATCATTTATTACATAAATTGCATATGTTTATCCGGGAAAACTGAGAGCCGATAAAAGAAAAACATTTCTGTTCAGTAAAAGTGTTAGGAATTCCAACTATCCCCTCTAACCTCTCTCACCCAAACATATATATTGACGCTTGCTTTGTTCACATAAGAGAAAGTCATAATCATTCATATAGTTTTCAAAAACAATTTGTTTCAATTTATAAATTTCCAGCTTTATTTTTGGATCAATATAAGGAAAACAAATCCTTATATTTACCTGGATCGTCACGTGCAGGAAAATATAACAATGTATTTCTTTCACATAGTGGATCCCAGCCAATCAGAAAGATCGGAATATAAAATTAATTTTTAGAGGAAGACTTTCATATGATTGTGATTTACCACAAAGAGTGATAACCAAGTCACGGTCAGTTTAAATATTGCAAGTGCTTGACCTTAATCGCTTTGGAGCAAGTGCTCAATTACATTTTTGTTAGAAAAATAAAATTATTTTATTCTAAAATACCCCCAAACGATGATTCATCGTATTATAAATGTAAGATGCATTAAATTTATGTAATATGTCGAGGTATTGGGTGTATAATCACTCCTCTCTTTTGACCTCAGAGTCTGCATAATTAAAATTAACACTTATATATTTTTATACGATGAAACTCATGTAATAAAAAAGGAAATGGCTTATTTCACGTTATAAGTTTATATCCTTTATACAAGTATAACGTGTTCTTTATTTAAAAGTAGTTTTGTTGATGTGCCCTTCTAATATTTTTCCATATTAAAATATTAAAGTCAACAAATTGAATAGTTCTTAGTTAAATAAGGTCTCATCTCCGCTAATTCATCCCTCATTCCATAGACAATACAAATTGTAAACATCCCATGTCAGTCACACTACCCGGAAGTACCGGTTATTATGTTTCATCCAATATGTACTACACTGTAATACATTGTATACATAATACATAAAAAAAGAAACACAAACTCAATCTACGCACCAGTGGCACTTAAACAATTGTACATGTAATACTAAATGTAGGTAAAGTTTGTTTTAAAACCAATTGTATCATGAAGTACACAATTTGTGTTAGTTTTTATGTAAAAAAAAAAAAAGAATGTATCAAATTAAAGATAGCAATTTTACAGCAAAACCGCTACTGCCTTACGTAGATCTATTTCCTTTTAATAACACAGAACATAATTTTGTATTTATTCTGATTTTGATCGGTTACATTTACTCTTGTTATTCAGTATAACTTTATGAACGTGAGTTTCATGTTTCCTATACATATCCTTAATTCGTAAGATATACTGACGAGTTCGTAAAGGGATACAATTATGCAGAATTATCAAATCACTTATTTCCCTCTAATTACTTCTAATATGTTAATTGATAGTATTATTTTACACTAATACTTCACAATTAAGGACTACTGCAGGCAAGATATACCATGAGTAATTCCGATTGTAAGTTTCTGTTTTAATATGCATAATTTTGGTATACAAAAATGATTCTAAAATACCTTATATGATTTTGTTGAAAAATATTTGAATTAAATCAAAGACAATTTAAGTTATTCTTTATTCGTATAAGTTTTCTATACCGTTATCATACAGCTATTCATGCTAATTATGAAATAAATTTTGGAAAAGTGAAAAAAAAAATATTTGTGCATAATTTCTCTGAAACAGTTGTCGGACACATTGATGTATGGAAAATGTAGTGTTTACTTTGACAAATTACGTTTGTCTGATTAAATTCTTATGACGTATGTCTGATTAAATACCTTTCCTTTTAAAGAAATTTATGAGAAAAATCCATAAACTTTTTATGAAGACATTAAAATATTTTTTTGTTAAAGTTTTATCATATTCCAACCCATATTCTCATCCTGAGAAAACTATTAAAATTATTCTTTAGCTCTCTCTTATTTTTTTTTTTTTAAATTTATGACTGAATTATTTTTACTATAGTAAGGTACTAAAATTTAAAATGAATGGTTTTTCCTCAAAACTCTACGGTATAAATGAACTAACTATGAAATAACGTGATCGCTTATGACTAAACAAGCAATTTATGGTCACGTGAATATAACATGTACTTTTTAACTTATATGATAATGTGGGGGTCTTAATAAATTGATCTATTGCAAGGGCATACCCTCAATGGATCATAGTAAGCTTTTAAAATTCAACTCTAGAAATATTAATTTATCTGAAAAGTGCTACAATCCTGAAGAAATCTTGAAAATAATTCAATTATATCAATATTTCATGCAGTTGAGAAGCAAAAATACAGATTTTGGTCATACAAATATAATTTTAACAACGGAATTGCAGAATTTAGATAGGATCGCAGCACTTTTCAGAAATTGCAGTACTTATTGAAAATATTTATAAGCTAAACTTGGAATTTTAACTTGTTTTTGCCCTTGCACTAGTGATATTTATAGATAACATCAATACTGCAATACTGCTTGTGCTAAAATCACAAGTCTAATCGTCCTCAGTATGTAGTTATTAACCATAATTACAATAATCTGATATAAATAATGTATTAAAAATAATAGCCATCCCGATTATGAATACATTTTTATTATAAAATATTGTCGATATTTCCATTGTGCACCCTAACTGCACTGCGCACGAGTGGATAAGCGTTTTATTATACTGATGTTTATTATAATTTCTGAGTATAGTATTTTTGTAAGTGTTAAATCCAGATGATATTACAATGCTACTGACGTTATCATTATGACATCATCAGTCTATGAAGATTTATCGCTAAAAATAAAAAATTGCATGAAAATTTTCCGAGGGGTTGTTAGCAAAAATTATACGCCTGGGTATACCTTTCTATGCGTTAAATTTTTCAGACTATGAAAAATAGTTATTTTATCTTCTTAACGCTATAAAGTGAACATTTAAACAGAATTATAATTAAACAAAATATAAATTGCGCTTTCTTTGATATAGCTTCATTTTAGCTTTTTGAAGTAAGTTTAATTACATCTTGCTAAAAATAAATTACCAGAAAACAAATCACTAAATTTGCGTCTCGCTAGAATTTCCACTTTTACAGTATATAAAATACCAGTGTTTTTACTCCTACACATGTATCTGATTTCATAATGATGTATGATAAATATTAATAATTTCTAGATTTGTTTAACATTATGATAATGTATTCATGTTTTTTCTCTTCAAGTATGAAAACATTCAATAAATATCATGAAATGAAATACCGATCCGGGAACTCCTTTCACTCCCTATGAGGTATCTACAAAGGGCTTCTGCGATTGTGTTGCAACAAAACATGTTGTAAATGTCACTGACAATAAATAAAATTACTTTATAAGAATAAATGTATAATACATGTAACATAAAATTTAAACTTGTATTACATATTTTTTTTAAATTTACATGAATGCAAAGATATAGGCATTGAAAAGCAAAAGAACACGAAGAACCCCAAAACATGTTTATGTTATTGACAATAAATATATCAGCTTTTAAAAAAAACGTAAATAAGAAGAATACAATAAAAGTTGAAATTGTACGACATACGAGGTTTGATAGATAGGTTTGCGAGCGCGTTATTTCTATGAAACAGTTTAAACCCTCTACAAAAAAATTTCTAATAGATATAAAAAGATTTGTTTTTTTCACATGATCCTTGAAAATATACAGCTATTAATATTAAAATGATGGAACATACTGCACAGACCATGCTTCTTTCTCGCACGTTAACATTACGTAAACTTTTTTTAAAAAAATTAATAGTTGCACAGTTGTAGACAAAAAAAATTGTGACATTTTATCTGTTGCTACAGTACTCAAGTGGTGAAAATTAAATTGGTGTGTACCGGTACATGGTTGTTTTATAACCGTTTATATATAATCAATGCGTAAAAACAAAGCCAAGAATGGGAACACTTCGTTGAACATTATGGCGCACTGAGCTACTGAAAATTGCTTACGCATACAGATGATAAAAGTATTTAGATGGTAGTAGCTTTATAAGAAAGGAAGGATTAACATTTTTAATGATCAGCTTCCGCGATATCTAAGTATATCTCCTATCGCATGTACATGTAAGTTGCACCTTTGGATTTTTGCACTATTTCCACGCCTGATCGCTTAACACTTTACAAATTTCAAAATTGTTATGCAAAATAAACTGAATCCTCGAGTCATAGAAACATTACGTTACTATTTCCCCGCAAGCACTTTCTAGCAGGGTACAAGTTTCTCTAAAGTTTAGCGTAAATAATATCATGACGTAATATTTTGAGATTAAGCAAGTATGAAATAGTTGGAATTTTGTAATAGATTGAAGATTTAATGAACTTTTTAAAGTGCGTTAAAATGCGTGATTGAAGGGAAACGGTAAATGCGTGATTTTGCGTCAGAAATAGGAAATGGTATATGCGTTAAAATGCGTGACTGCGGGGAAAAGGGTTAAGGAAGCTCTAAACATCAAGAGAAACTGTTTTTGGACTTGGAGAAAAATATATAAAAAGATATGCACATTGAGACTTTTTCATTCATTAAGAACATAGGGTACGAGCCTAATTTCTGCAGGCAAAATGTTCAAAGACAATGGACTATTTGTTAGGAGAAATCACCGTTGTTTTCTTACAATAGGAAAATTAATGAAAATAATTAATTAAATTTCTTACTCTTGGTCTTATATCATGCTAAAAATATTTTAATCTATTATACATTATGTAATTAACGGTAAATAATGATTTCTTTAACTTTACATCAAAGGCAGATCACTCTAACTGCATAAAACTATCCAATAATTAGAGCTCTTTAGTGTGCAGTGTTTAGAGCGTCCTTAACAGCAAATACATTTATTTTAAGATCTCACTAATATCAAAAACAACACAAAAGGTACTAAAAAAGTAATATGCCTTGATATATGTAACTATCTTATAAGTAGAAAACAGACGTGAAAAGTTTGAAGAAATGAATGATAATTAGAACAAAAAAAAAACGGGTTTGA